TGTCCTACACTCCCTTTCCTTTTTGACTGTAAGCCGCCCTGAGTCCCCTCAGGGAAAAGGGCGGCCTATAAATGTCTAATAAATACAAAAATGCAAATACAAAATATCACACTATGGACCGATTCTGTGTTTTGAAGACTTCATTAATTTCATATAACTGCAGTTTTCTTAGTCTTCCAGTTCCTTTCAACCCATTCACTTTTCATATATATATTTTGTAATTCAGTTCTAAATCTTTCTATATGACTAAATCATAATTTATCTTGAACTGAACACTCTTTTATACTCTACCTTCTGTCAACACTAATAATAAAACACTGAACAGTTTCATGATTCAATTAATTCATTGCAATCTGTTGTGCTTAAATCAAAATGTTTGGTTCGAGTATGGAACAAAATGGGTTTGTTTTCTGGTCCATGTCGACTGAAATGTAGGTGTTCTGAGTAGGTGTTTTATGGAAGAGTGAGAAAAGTCAAGGATATTAGTGGTTGAGAGAGGCAGCAGAGGGATAGAAGAGAAGGTTCTGGGAAGATTATGGGGGTAAATCCAACTGGTATGCTATGCAGTGGAAGTTAATGATTGGCATTTGAAGGATGCCAGATAAAGAAAAGAAGAGAAAATGTTGGAAATATTGTGGGTGGAAAGGTTGGTGAAATATGATGTGTTGAGATATTGGTGACAGATAAAGGTAGGAATCAGGATGAGATTTCTTTGAACTCTATCTGATTTAGAAAGATTCCACAGAAACGTCTGAAACTTGCTTATATTTATATTATAAAATATATTATTACTATATCATAAAATATATATTTTCTGCACATTTCTATTCATTTACTCTTGGTACTCTTTACCTATCTTACCCTGTTAGGACTCAAAGATATGCATGGCAATTAAATATGGAGAGATTCGGGATCAACAGAAGGAGATATCTTTTCACATAGCATATAGCTAAATTATAAACTGGATTTTGTGGCAGCACTTAGGGCTAGGTAGCTAAGTTTGAGGGATTTGAAAGAGCACTGATTATAAATGGAACTACTTTGAGGAACCAACTCTCTTTAATCCCATCTCCCCATTTTGTTGGGTCCAGAAGGAAAGGAATGGTCCTATTCTGTCTACTGGACAGTATTGAATGGTGGAGCCCAGGAACACAGTCTTTTCTGTCCTATTCTCACTCTATGGAACATCATTTCCCTGGAGATCAGATTGACCCTCAATCCTACCAGCTATCCTCAACCCTACCTTAAAAACATGACTTTGTCAACAAGCATGGTGGCCTCAGAAGTACACATAGGCCTTGGTTTATGATCACAGTAGGAACCAGAATTTCCATTGCTAAGTGATATCATAAAGATGTCACATGACCACACTAACGACAACAATTCCATTCCCCTGTTGCCATTGTTAATCGAGAATTGCAGGTTGTTAAGCAAGTACCCATCCAATTCAAGCTATTTCAGGCTTGGTCCCTCCCATCTTCCCCAGGTCTTGTAAAAAAAAACCCTGGGCAACTTGGGGAAGAAAGTCTTGTACAGCCATGAACTCATGAAAAATCAGACTGGGTAGTCAGCAATGGAAGCAAGAAGAGAGTGAAAGTCAATTAGGTGACGGGCTGAAGCATATAGAAGGGCATGGGAGGAATAAGTGGGGGGGGGGGGCAGTTGAAGTCCATCTGCGGTTGTAAGTGAATGCTGGCTGCCAAGGTTCAAAATTTGATCATGTGACCACTGCTGTAACTTCAAACTTGCTCAATTCAAGAAAGATTGTTAATCCTGCCAATAATCCCTGACTATTCTGTATTCATCCATGGAAGAAAGAATAAATAATAACTTATTTTCTACTTAAGATCTAGCATTATAGATTATAGTGGATTAAAAATAAAAAAGTTCAAAACCTAAATTAAGAACATTGAATAGATTAATAATGCTAAGCACAGTTGTCATTAAAGAATAGATTAAATTGCTGTTAATTAAATGCCAAAGATAGGATACTGGTAATACAAATTATTCATTTTCTATCACTGAAAATCTTATATATTTCTCTCTTTTTGTTAACACAGACCATATATAGATATATAGCAGTTATAAGTAATATGTCAGAAGAGTGCACTTGGTAATGCTACCAAAATTATGTTCTTTTAATAGATTTGTCGTATTTAAATGGGCATTTTGTATTTAGCAGTGTCTATTGCAGTTAGATTTTTAAAATAAGCAAGAACAGAACAATGTTGAAGAGCTAACTTTCCAGCATGTAGTAACGCTATTCATATACTCTTTAATTCTAGGTCATATTTCTCCATGGATTAGGAGATACTGGGTAAGTAAAATGGCTTTTTAAATAAACTATCTGTACCTTTGAAACATCTTTTATTATTTGCAATTTGCAAAGAAAAAATGCAGTGTTCATTAATTGCAATGCTATGCTTAAGTTAATGTTTACATTTCATTTTATAGATACCTGTGTGATCAGTAAGAGTTGAAACTGACTTAATGGTACCAGTATTAGTTGGAAACTGGACATTGGAAGATGTTAGTGCATGTTTCTTGATTTAATTCTTAAAAATTCAGTTAATGAAAGAACATCAATTATATAAATAGTCCTTTATAGTTATTTTGATAAAATTCAATATATGCAGATTGTTATTTGACTTAAAATTGCCACAATTAAGTCAAAACAAGAATAGGATTTTTCATACAAAACTTTCTATACATCTTTCATATGATCTTGAGTGCAGTTTCATGTTATCCTGCCCATGTGCGAAGTGGGATGGCAGGCCAGCCTTCTCTGCTCCGGCCTGGGTGAGTGAAAAAACATCAAGAAAACTAGTAAACTAGTTCAGAGATCATGCGGGAAGGGGTCCTACCGGTGGAGCGAAATCTAGTGGACCCGACCAGGTGCCTATCTGGGGGGTCGCCGCTATCGGGCGGCTCCCAGTCCATGCGGCCGCCCATAACAGTTTTTACAGCGTTCGGTGGCGAAAAGGGCGGTGCCGCGCTGAAGGCTTTTCACAGTCCTAGCCCGTTTCTCCTTCTGATCGGGAGGGGCCCTGGAGTATATCGGACTGTTGGAGTGTTACTGCTGGCAGAGAGGAGGTGGATGGTGTAGAACGGCGCTGGACGAGATCGGGCAGTTGGTTTGTCTGCTGCTGCCGCGGCCTCCCTAGGCACCCCCCTCCCTCTGTTTCCATCGGTTTGCAACACGTGGTGTCCTCGATGTCTTTAACATCTTCCCTGACATCTTTTTTGACATCTTCTGCTCTTGTTTCTGTGACCCTCGGACTATATCAGACTGTTCCAGAGGGGGTGCTTGGCCTGGCATGGCGCCAGATGAGATCAGGCAGCTGGCTACGTTACCGTTGCCGTGGCCTTCCCCCCCCCCCAATTCCCCTGGACTTGGCCTTCCCTACGGTGCGGTCTCTCCCCTGTCTTCCTTCATGATTACGGGGTCTTCTTTTTTATCACCGGGCTCTCCCTGCTCACAGCTGCTGGACTTTGGATTTACTTTTGGACCTATGACCTGGACTTTGGACTTATGACCTGCCTTATTTGGTGTGACCACTGCCGCCTGTCGATGCTCAGGGAGGCCACTTCGGACTTTTTGGACCCCCTGCCATACCATCCTATTATACAGGAAAGAGAGAAGACGAACTGTCCCCCTCCATATCACTGTTAATTTCCACCTATCTGAACTTTTTTACGAACCCGCCTATAACGTCGCACAACATCAACAGCTGCGCAAACTTTGTATGTGGAGTGTATGTGGTATGTATGTGATTGAATGATCCCACGCTTTTTAATCTAACGTAATTCATTCTATTTTAGTGTATTTTATTGTATTACTGTATATTTTTAATATTAGTGGGGTATGCATGTGGAGAATGCCTGGCTGGTATGTATGAGGGGATTGAGAGTGCGGCCTGGAGCTCCCTCCACTGAGTGCAGAAGCAGAAGTGGATGGGGGCCCAGATCCGCCTCTCGTCCCAGAGTGTATGGTACGAATGGCCTGCCAGGGAGAATGGGGGCCGTGGGAGGGGAGGAGGGTTCTATGGGGATGGGGACGGGCCGGAACATCCTGGTTATGTTTGGGAGAGGCAGGTACGACGGGAATTACAGGGCTAGCCATCACCGGGGAAGGAGGGTTCGCTACGTCA